ATGACTTAATAAAAAATTTGATATTTTGCATATGAAAGCATTGTAATGTTTATTGATAATCTGGCAAATTTCGTTAATGTTTGCTTACTAATTTAAAAGTTATGGCATAAAAACTATAACAAGCACAAAATGGTTAGGAGGTCGTCACATTGACCGACCATGTAATGAAAGAGTTAAGTACTCTGATTTTTTTTGTGTCATCCAATTATCTACCAACCATGTCTGTCAGAATTAACACACACCCCTTCTGCTTGATGCTTCCAACCCTGTCTGTCACAGTTAACACACACCCCTTCTGTTTTGAGACTTCCAACTCTGTTTGTTACAGTTAACACACACACACTTTCTACTTGAAGCCTCCAACCCTGTCTGTTACAGTTAACACACACCCCTTCTGTTTTGAAGCTTCCAACCCTGTCTGTTACAGTTAACACACACCCCTTCTGTTTTGAAGCTTCCAACCCTGTCTGTTACAGTTAACACAAACCCCTTCTGTTTTGAAACTTCCAACCCTGTCTGTTACAGTTAACACAAACCCCTTCTGTTTTGAAGCTTCCAACCCTGTCTGTTACAGTTAACACATACCCCTTCTGTTTTGAAACTTCCAACTCTGTCTGTTACAGTTAACACAAACCCCTTCTGTTTTGAAGCTTCCAACCCTGTCTGTTACAGTTAACACACACCCCTTCTGTTTTGAAACTTCCAACTCTGTCTGTTACAGTTAACACACACATACTTTCTACTTGAAGCCTCCAACCAAGCCCATCACAGTTAACACATGCCCCTTCTCCTGTTTAAAGCCTCCAACCCTGTCTGTAAAAGTTAACACACACCCCTTCTGTTTGAAGCTTCCAACCCTGTCTGTCACAGTTAACACATACCCCTTCTCCTGCTTGAAGCTTCCAACCCTGTTTGTTACAGTTAACACACACTAAACTCCTGTGTGAAGCTTCCAACCCTGTCTGTCACAGTTAACACATACCCCTTCTCCTGTTTGAAGCTTCCAAAATATGTGAGAAATGTGAAGAATGACCTAGAAGTTTCTGAGGTATAACATACAGTGATACTTGTTATGTTAAGAGGACTACATTAGATTTATCTAAACTGGAATAGTTATAAAAAATGCAATAAAACATCTATGTAGCTCAAAAAGGTTGGTTCCAAATATTTCACATTCATTGGTTATTAACAGTACAACAGAAAGGAAATTCTGATATAAAACCACACGAAAATATACTTAAGGTAATTTACAATAAAGGTTAAATCCACACTACAATACCAAATTGATATGGATACTAATTTTGACAAATTCACACATCCTCTCCAGTCCAACTGATAAACGCTAAAAGGATTGACCAATAGAAACACTACTGGTACCTGTATTCTAAGCCTAAACTGATATAGGCAATATTTTTCTGAATACATTTTTGATCAAGGTCAATTTCTTTCTAGTACTTAGGTATGTGTGTGTATTGTTTGAGTAAATAAAAAATTTAATAATACCAAAGAAATAGTAAATCAAGAATGATCACTCCCATTGGCTACCATAGCATCAGCTATGAGAAATTTGTGTTCAAGTTCTGTGTTTACAAACACTTTGTTCCTGTGAAACTGTACATATTAATATTTACTATAATTCTGAATCTACTAAATGTATCTTCACAAAATTCTAATACGGCATATTACCTCTACTCATGTAAATGCTAATTTCGTTCAGTGCTGCTCTCTATATGCAAAAAACATTTTCACAAGCCATGAACTCCCATTACCCCATGATCACTGTGGTTCAACTGCATCTTGCATGCAAATCATCATGCAACAACCCTCCACTAGTAGTAGGGGTGTGACACACCTTCCTGACACATGTGACTCCCTCTATTTTATTCTACCGAACTATCACTTGTCCTTAGACAGTGACCGAGTGCAGACATTTTTCTCTTTTCGTGTGTTTATTTTATTTTTTATGAAGTAGTGATTTACGTGATTTATTTATTTGCTACAGTTAGTTTTGTCTGTAGGAGTTTCCTGTGATAACTTACCTTTGTTTAATAATTTCTCTTCTTCTCATTTTTGACTTCTTGAAGGTTTAAGATGAATTCCAAAGGTTGTGTTTAACAACTACTGATATTATTACCACTACTTTGGATTGCCATTACCAGCTTCTGGTCCGGATGTCTTGACTGAGGATTGTTCAGCTATCATTCATTGGGAGATTGATTATTATGTGAGGCTTCCTTTTTTTTTGCCAAACAATGTTTGGGCACCTTTTGCATTTTCTGAACCTGTTCATGATGTGGGGATTTTGAATTATTTTGTTTTTCCTCCTCTTACCTATGATGTACCTTCCCATGCATCTCCTATGAAATCTACTAGGCCTAACTCTGTCGTTTTAGACATGCTTTGTCGGGTGTGTTCCATTTTAACAGTTTTCATATGATACTGTTTCTTTTTAACATGACATCCATCATTGGAGTCTCTTGTTTTTCCTTCTTTCCCCTGACATCTGGGTTCATGATCAGCATTTTGTGTCTCAGTTGAGGGCTGGTGTTAGCATGCCTCATCATCTATGGACTTTTGATCTTTATACATTGGCTTATCAGAAGCTGATCAATCCTTTCTTGACACTCAACAGTTAGTGTCACTTTTGCTCATGTGTGTGTGTATGGGGGGGGGGGGGCTGTCTCTGATAATCCTATCCATTTCTCCCATGTCCTTTTTCCCACTTTCGTTTTACCTTTACAGATCTCCTACAGTACTTGTCCAGCATACATCTTCTTTCTGGGGCACTCAACTGATCCTCTGAGGGTTTTTTTGGGGGGAATACACTTTACTCCCTTACTCCTCATTGGTGCTATATTCCTCTTTGGCCCTATCCCTTCACATGTGGTTTTTGTTGC